GAGCCAACGCCGCTCTTTGGCCTGTGGGTCCCAGATCTCGGCCGCGTAACGACCCCACGGCCTTCGTCGTACGCCTCGGTATCTCATTGCGCCGCCGCCGGTGCCAGTGCCTGCGGCTGTCGTGGTGTCTCTCAGCGTGCGCTTGTTGGTTGGGGTAGCGGTGGTTGACTTCCTTGGTGGGTCAGAGATGGGGTCGGGTTCGGTGGAGCGGGTAAACCCATTCAGCCTTCTAAATGCCTCTTCCATTTGTTTTGTGAAGTTCTAAGGAAAAATGAAATTGGCGTGTTTGTGATGGTGGAAATTGCAGCGTGGGGTAGAGTGTTTGTTTGGGTGTATTTATAGCTGAGGAAGGAGGAGAAGTGAGGAGCTGGAAATTGACTTTTTTTAAAGTTTGATTTTTCATGCATGGAGATGGAGGCAAATTTATAGAGATGGTGCAACACAAAACTCGAAAACAAAAGGCAGGGGAGTGTTTTAATTTTCGAGTTAAATTCCAACGACTAGGATCTTCTACTGGCCCAACGGTCCCTCACTTGGAGGGCCATGATTATCTTCTCAATCTTTGTTTCTCTATTTATTTATTTTTAAGTTGGTCATTTGTCCCCCCTCTCTCTCTCTCTCTCTCTCTCTGTGTATTAATTAGATCTTACACATTTTTAACAATAATGGTTAATAAATATATTGGTACAGCTTGCTGTCTAATTCACATTGCTGTAACAAAAAGTGGAGGACACCCACTTTAATTATTCCAAAGCGTATCAAATCTACACGACAATGTTTAATTTCTTTTTTAGCAGAAACTTGAATCCAATAGTTATTGCTTATTGGAGATATAATCACATAAAAGAACCAACCACAATTTCTTTTTTCAAGGGAAATCATCGATTTTTTTTTATACAAGCGATATTTTATTTTAAAAACAAAAAAATAATAATGTTCACTAAGTATGTGCCAGCTCAGAGCAACTATTGGGGGAGTAATAGGCTTGGTCTATTTCCAAGAGCAATGAATAAAAAGTTGGAAGTCAGAAAATGACTGATGGAGATGGTAAAGATTTTAATGGCATGGAGTGAACTCAACGCTCTCTTTTTCTCTCAAAAACTGTAAAACGCTAAAACAGGGAAAAGAACAAAACACCAAATGAAACTCCCATTTCTCAAAATGGAACTTCGAAAACATCTACACGTCTCCATCCAACATGCAATGAAACCATGAAAGAGCCTGGAGTTTTCGACAAGCACATAAAGTAGCTTCTGGCTTCTGCTGCTGCTTTTTGCTTTTTCGTTTATTTTTTAATCAAAATTTTTTTCTAGGGAGTTGCAGAAGAAACTCTCCTTCTCTGTCCCTTGTTGTGATTAACATTCTGAATGATTACACTGGCGGCGCTCAGAATTTGTTCCTCCCACTTTGGCTTTTGTAATATTTTATTGCTTTCATGCATGCTACCAAAAAATTTCCATCTTTGCAACTTCGATCTGGTTTTGCCTTAGTGATGGGTTTAGGGTTTGAAAACCAAAGATCAATGGGGTCACATGGAGTTGTCTGACGTAGGGTTTTCATAGGTTTTCAGCGTCTGTTGGTTGTGAGATAGAGACTAAAGTTGTTTGTAAATTGTACTAATTTGAGTCGGAAATATAAAAAAACCCACATATGCTTAATTATTTTTGTTGTACAAAGTTCTTCTTCCCAATGTAAACCTCTCTATCCTAATTCCTAAGCTTAAACCTTGGTTAATATCCTGGAACACCAAAAGAAATTATGCAAAGGAAGGACTAACCTTTGGGCACTAGACAACTCGTTTGTCACACAAAACTAAACCTCAGGACTTAGCCGCAGAACCCATTGGGCCAATTCTTACTATTTGTGCATCAGCTTTCGGGACCGTCCTCGTTGTAGCTAATTGAAGTAATTAAAACCCTAAAGAAGGAAATTAACGGCTTATTTAAAATGACAAAGTCAATTTACATTATGATTAATGCATTCGTCACAGTCACCATGTTCACTGTGAATAATAGGTAGGGGGGCTCTTCTATATGAAACTAGTTAAGAGAGCAATGATTCTCCGACGGCACGGGGGAAAAAAAAAACGTGTGCCTAACCATGCACAATTTACATATTAAGTTTGTGAATAAATTATAATATGTGATCTCAACAATGCAGATTTATGCAAGTATTTATTTTTCCAGAAAGTTTATGTGAGCAAGGTCGAAATCATAAATTTTTCAACAAGTGAGCTAGCTAAAATTATTACCTAAAATCTAGTGATATTTTTTTTTGTATTTCTAGTTTCTACAGTTTTTCTAGAAATAAAGTATACATTAAATCATATAAATCACTCTAGTTTATAATTTCATTGACCAATTTTCAATAAGTTTTATCTTTTTATATAATTGATATTTGGGGAAGGGGGAATTAGACCTATGACCTCGAGTTTAGGGCTAAATACTAATTTCCAATAAACTTTAACAAAAACAAATACATATTAAATGCAACCAAAAAATACATATTATAAAATGAAAAATATGTTCAACAACATAATTGAAAGTGTACCTATTTTAATGTGTATTTTTATTCATGCCTTACAATTATATTCGTAAATAATTGGACTTCTTTAGACTTTAATAAGTTATTTCATACTCGGCTGGATCTAAAACAAGTCAAATATATATAAGTTTGATTTTTTAATCTCAAAACCTCCTTGAGCTACCAATCACTGTATTAATGGTGTGTTTACTAATTAGGAATTGAAATGAGAATCTCATCAGGAATTGAATTCCATATATGAAGGATTACTGCGTTTACTTCACATCAATGAATTGAGAAATAAGTGGGGCCCACACAAAATTAGGAATTGAATTCCTAATTTTAAAGGAATTCAATTCTTGGGTGGGAGGTTGTATTCTAATCCCTGAAAAACTAATGCATTAGGAATTCATTTTTTTAACCCATTATATCCTTATAAAATTTTTAAAATTCAAAATTTGTCATCTACTTTAACCCAACAAACGATGACATTTTAGTAATTAATACCACTGATATCTCAATTTCATATGATTTAGTATACAACTTTAATAGGAATTCAGAATCTAATTCTTCTCAATCCAATTTCTTCTCAATTCAATTCCTCATAATCTAATTATGAATTAATAAACATGTCATAAGGTAGTTATATGTCCTTGGTAAGTGACAACTAACTGTGCAGAGATGGTAAAACTTTTTCGGTCTGTATTTTTGTGAAATGAAAAAGAAAAAAGAAAAAAATTTGTTCCTTTTTATTTTAATGAAAGAAAGAAGAAGAAAAAGTTGTCCATCAAGAATATATATCACTGGAATGACAGTATGAACATATCCATGTCTACAATGACGTTCATGTCAATATGATCTCACTTCACAAGCAAAGATCATTCATCTCAGTATCTCATGCAATGCTCATAAAAATCTGAGTGGATCCCTTGCTTTGGACGGTCATTTCAGGGTGCGTCATTAAAATATTTTTCTATATATTTATATATTATTATTTGCACTTGTGGTCATGATTCATGAATATGAAAACTGACCGACCCAAAAATATTATTGAATAATAATATAAATGAGAGAGAGAAGACAGAGGGAGAAAGAGAGAGACTGAGAGCGAGTAAACGACGGTGAAGGGTTTCAATTAAGGCGGAGACGCCAAACCAGAAAAAGAGATGAGCAGCCAAGATTTTAACGACAAGGAGATCGAAGCCTGTCAGTCTCAGAGGGCAATAGAATCAAGAGGTAACCAGCTTTTTTGGCAGTCGTTGGATGGGAAATGAGAAGCCCAGAGACTTTATGGCCCTCCCCTCCCTTCCTTCCTTCCTTCCTTTCCTTCTATGGAATGTCAAAATATTACTATAATAATGTTAATGTTTAATTCATTGAGCTTCTCAAGAATGAAGATTTGTTGGTTTGGTTGGTTGTAGACTTGTAGCAGTTGTGGGGAATGTCTTGAAATTCATTGAGCTTGATGGATATCTCATGCGCATCTTGTCCTCATTCTTTTACTCCTTTTAATTCCATACACGCAAGAATTTTTACTTGCCAACGCTCATTCTCCTAAAAATCTTAAATTTCATTCACAAGAATTTCCACTTGCCAAGGCTCATCAGAATATTTCCGACGGGCGCAATAAAATTAAAACCTAATGTGTGTTTTTTTTTTACTTAAGCGATGGTCTAAATTAAACTAATTTTTAAAGGGAAAATTGAATAGAGTTGCGTGATTTGAAAACAACTTGAATATAAATATAATATATGCATGGGTTACATATATGGAAATTTACACCACTCTTGATACTTGAATTCGGGTGGGGGCATGAACATAAACATCAAAACATGCACATAATATCAATGGGATCAATAATGATCGATGCATGCCACAGAATTATTGGGAAGCATAAATTCCAATAGGTTAGAAAGAAAACAACACAACCAACCACCCCCTGCCACTGCCCTGCCCTGCCCTCCCACTCCCAGAAAAGGAAACAATTTGCCCTGATAATAAAATAAAGAATGACATGGGCTACAGCTTTTAACGGTTCTGGGAGAGATATCAGAAGAAACACAGCAACAGATCTCTCTCTCTCTCTCTCTCTCATGGATGGGGGGATACGCCTTTGCCTTTCTCATTAAAATCTGGGTTGGTACTTAATGCTTCGTACATGAGCATATCCCCATCCAATTCCTTTTTGGCAGATCACACAGATTTGCTTTTACGGGTTTTACTACCGAGATAGCTCTCTGCCGAGGTGGGGTCCGTGTGGTTCGGAGAGTTATTATAGCATATAGCCATACACACCTGTAAATTATGCAACCTGGCAAATTACCAATGAGCCAACTTACCAGTAATTTGCAAGAGCGCCATTACTTTTCTTCTTTAGAGTTCTTTTTGGTTTTGGGTAAACGTTAATGACCTGAGAGTTATTACATAATGGTTAATTAAATCAAGAACATGTATTTATAAAAACAGTCGTGAAACTGGCTGTTACATAAAAGCAGTAGAGTTACAGAACGTACAAAATATGTCTCGGGGAAATAGATTAGTCACCAATCAAAAAGACTGTATCCTGCAATTAGTTTCGTAATATTTACCCATGAGCATGAGTCATGACCTGATTGATGACCATGCATGAGTATGATGAGCAAACATTCCAAAACCCTAACCAGAGCCATTGGGGAATTGATCAAGAGTTGCATAAATTCTGTTTACTTTTTTCCCCTTGAGCC